TGTGAGTCTGTTGGGAGTAACCCTAAGGAGATATGGGTACCCCATTGATGCATTGCTCGATGTTTTGAGCAAGCATAGGGATAAGTACCACGAGCTGCTTTTGTCCGACTGTAAGAAGCAGATTGCGGAGGCCGTTTCATCTGAAAAATTTGAGCAGATGTTGATGAAGAAAGAGTATGAGTATTCCATGAATGTGCTTTCTTTCCAAATACAAACATCGGATATCATCCCTGCTTTTCCCTACCTGGCACCGTTTTCATCCACCGTGCCGGATTGTTGTAGGATTGTGCGGTCCTTCATCGAGGATTCTGTAAGTTTCATGTCATATGGTGGGCAGCTTGAGTTCTATGATGTTGTTAAGAAATATTTAGACAGGCTTTTGAGTGAGGTTTTGGACGAAGCTTTAGTGAAGCTTATCAATACGTCGATTAGTGGTGTCTCCCAGGCAATGCAAATGGCAGCAAATATGGCTGTCATGGAGCGTGCTTGTGATTTTTTCTTTCGCCAAGCTGCACAGCTTTCGGGTGTTCCCTTGAGAATGGTGGAGAGAAGCAGAAGACAGTTCCCTCTAAGAAAAGCCCGTGATGTTGCGGAAGAGATGCTCTCTGGGCTACTCAAAGCCAAAGTTGATGGATTTATGTCCTTGATCGAGAATGTAAATTGGATGTGTGATGAGGCACCTCAGAGTGGAAATGAATATGTAAATGAAGTCATAATTTATTTGGAAATTTTGGTTTCAACTGCTCAACAGATATTGCCATCTCAAGTCCTTAAGAGAGTTTTACAGGAAGTTTTTGCTCACATATCAGAGAAGATAGTTGGGACTTTAGTTAGTGATTCCGTTAAGAGGTTTAATGTGAATGCTATTAATGGAATTGAAGTAGACATCCGGCTCTTGGAATCATTTGCTGATAATCAGGCTTCCCTTTTCTCTGATGGGGATGTTGATGTTCTGAAGTCATCACTTGCCAGCTCAAAGCAACTGATTAATTTGCTATTAAGCAATCATCCGGAGAACTTCTTGAATCCAGTGATCAGGGAGAGGAGTTACAATACTTTGGACCACAAGAAAGTGGTGATTGTTTCAGAGAAGTTGAGGGATCCTTCCGATCGGCTCTTTGGAACCTTTGGTAGTCGTGGGGCCAGGCAGAATCCAAAAAGGAAATCATTGGATACATTGATAAAAAGACTTAAGGATGTTAGCTGATTAAGCTTATAGCTGTATGTAAGTTACTTCCTCTTGTTTTGATTTCTTGTTTTGTCTCTAGTTCCATTTTGACTATGAATTATTTAATAGTGAGTTGTGGATAAAATTATTTGGTTTAGGCCAGTCTATCAATGTCTTCCAAATGCATTTTAATATTTTTCAAAACATTTGTTTAAAATGTAAAATTCGTATTTTTTTTTGAATTTGATTTAAATAGTTTCATATAATGTTATTGTATTTGTTATGAACTCTATCCCTCCTGCTTGCTTAAGTGTCTTAAATGTGTAACACGATGCTTGCTTTTCCTGCGTAGTTGTTGGTGTTCATTCAACTTTCATAGATGTAGGTCTAGAAGACTAAAACTCCTGTTAAATTACCTCAGCTTTATCGAAATATTATGATCATTACCTTGACATTTGTAACTTTGCTAATCAGCCTTAGCCTTGTTTTGTACAACATTGTTTAGCTGTAAAACTTTTTATCAGAAAAATGAAAGAAAAAGAAAATCATGTTCTACCTATTGCTTCTTCAAATTTGTCCAATGATAAATGAAGGTTAGATTATTGAAGTGACATTGATCCACAGTTAGAGTTTTCTAAAACCATGATTGATAGCCTTAGCCTGTGTAGGTTGTGAAACTGAAATGAGGTTACTTTTCCTATTATGTCATGATTGTAGGTCTTACACAGGATCGTGTGAGGGTCTATGAAAGACAGCAATTACGAAAGAAACCATTAAACACAACACTTAATAATATAAATATTATTTAGAAATCCGTGAGCCAAATTGAAATACAGAAGCTCTCAACCTGATTGACAAAATTAATCCCAAGCCAATTGAAACCCAATTTGGGACTGAGATTCTAATGCAATGCCAACAAAAATTGTTGCTTCAAATCGAAACTAAAACATTGGATTTCAAATCTCTGTATGCAGCAACCTTGAGAGGCTGAGAGAAGTTATTAGGTGAAGGCAAATGAATGATTTTATATTTCTAGCATGCCTCTTCATGTAAGCATCCTTTGACTTTGAAGCAGGGACAATGTATAGGCCTACATTGTTGAAATTAAGCTTTTTCTTTTTTATTTAGAAGAATGGGAGCAGAAAAGAACCACCTTTATATCACTTGGTAATAGATTCTTTGAGGCGTTTACTTCCTGCACAATAGGTTTTACACTTCACGCACCCTTCAAATATTAAAGTTCCAAAAATACCTTTAAAAACTATTTCCATCCCCTTCCCATTCCTGCCTCCTAAAAATGCACATAGGTTTTACACTCCCAAATTACCTAATCCAGAATGTAAAAATATGTTCTAGAACATTCATTCCAGAATGTTAAAATGTTTTCAAAACATTCATTCCAGATTGTTAGATGTGTTCTGGAACACCTAATTTAGAATGTTAAAAATGTGTACCGGAACACCCATTCCAAAATGTTAGAAATGTGTGTTCCAAAATACTCATTCTAGAATGTTAAAAATGTGTTCCAACTTCTGGAGCACTCAATCCAGAAAGTTAAAAATGTGTTCCGGATTAGGCTTTCCAGAAAAGAAAATTACATTCTAAATTGGTTATACTTGTTCTAATATGTGTAACACATAAAACATTTTGAAATGCATAATCCAAAACATATAAGCACAACGAAAATCTCAAATTGTCTGAACCTTCCTATGAAAGCTCAGTGCTCCTATGGAGAGGAATGGGGCTGAAGTACCTTCTTAAGAAAGGCAAAAATAGAGGGAGAGAGAGAGATAATGCCTACTATGGAAGGGTTGGGAAAGGTGAGAGTGTATGTATGAGTGGGGAGATTAGATGAAGATTATCTTTTATATTTTCTCGGTGTAGATGAATAAGGTAGAAGAAGGAGTAGATGAAGTGGGGAAGGTAGAAGAAGGTGAGGGCAAAAGGGTAGTTTAAGAGTTTTAAGAAGGATGTAGGTAGTAATTGGGATGGTGGTGGAAGTTATTCTCAGACTTTGAACTGAGTCATGAACCATTTATAGCAAAAGTTTGGGATATTAATTGAAGACATTAACATTTTATATTATATCTCTAACAAGAGTGGCTTCAAAGTACAACACTCACTGGCAAACTTTACAAAGTATGGGTTAGAAATTGCAGTAAAATCAGATCTAATGAAATTACAAAAGACTGTAGTTGAAAGAGAAAAAAAGGATCCCAAAACAAAATTTTCCAGGATATCACTGCTTAAGGCACTTGTTAAATTCTCCCAGTCCTACAATATTGAACACTATCCGACCAGGTCACCACAATATCACAATTCTGAGATTTGATGGACCAAATCGCCCAGGTGGGTTCCACAAAAAAGATTGTTATCTTTTGTTACAGAATCTAATTCGCTGTGTTTGACAACCATGCATAGAAACCATGCTTGAAGTGCATGGAGACTAGTGTTTTTCTGTATTTCTACATATCTATATCTACTAATCTACATAGGAGCCTGTAGCTGAAATGTAGTATGTTTGGGTCCTTTATTTTTGGGCTATATAGAAGACTTCGGGGCAGTTGAAAACTACATCATTGTGATAATCTTTACAGAAGTAGCATTCACATTCATTAATGTATAAGTCAACAAATTTATCATTTAATAAGAAAAATTACAGTTTATATTATTGTATAAGTCAACAAATTTATCATTTATAGTAAACCGTAATTGGATTACTGTGTAAAATTACTTTACCTTGTTGGTGCAATACCATTAAATCCCTATTTGATTGGAATTCTTAATTATAATTATACAGCATTTCTCAGGAAACTAAAATATTACAGTATTTCTAGTTGTACCAGTTATCAAAGTCTGGTACATGGCAGAAAGTTAACAAGCTCATTAACTAAACTTTTTAGCTAATATTGGTGTCTGTCAAGATACAAACTTTGTACTTATGAATTATTCTTCCCCTCCCCTTGATTCTCTCTTGTTGAAGACTTGAAGGATTGTATTGGGTGATCTGTTGTTTCTTTTTCCAATGAATAAAAAAAAACTAAAACCCTTAATTACAGGACTTTTTTTTTTTTGTAATTACATTTCTACTTCTTGTTTTATTCTTGTAGTTTATGTTTTGTTTCTTTTCAATCTTCCGGTAACCTGAAATTTCCTTTTGGTAGAAAATTTCTTCAGATATTATTGCTTTTTTTTTATAGGTTGAATATATTAACAAATCCTTAAGCCTTTTACAAAATTTGAATTAGGTTCCTGAACTAATAAAAAAATTGCAATGGAATCCTTAAATATTTAATTGTAATTGAATCTTTGTTATAGTTGTTTGAAACCACCAGAAAATAGTAATTTGTGACCATTTTATTAATTTTAGGGACTACAAAATTTGAGAAGATCAAAGATCTGATTTTTTTATTTTATTTTTTATACTTTATAGACTTGGTTAAAATTTCTCAAAAATTTAGACTTTTTGATGTATTAAATCTTATATATATATATATATATATATATATATATAAATCATTCTTATGTAAACAATTATATTGTAAAGGGTCCTTAATAGTGGAATAGTGGTCAAAACTTGCAGTTGTACTCGCCTCTTAAGGTTAGATTTGTTTTATCCAATTTAAATAAATTTTTGCGCGGTTAGTAGTAAATTAAATGTCTTTTAACTTTGCTTTCCGATTTTTGTTTTATATATCCCTTTTTTAATAAAATAGTCTTTCATTTTTATCCATACACGAGTTCATTATTTAATTAAATATTTAACTAGTATGAACAAGCTCATTTCTGCCAATAAACAAGAAAGCTCAAATAGGACGATAAAATGTCTCCTTTCTCTTGTAGTTGTAGGGACCTATGCCGAAATTTTGCGCACAAGTTCAAATTGCTCAATTGATTTGGTCAGTTTCAAGATTACTTCTGGTGCCAAATTTGATGATTCTGAGATTAATTTCAATTTCATTAAGAATATTAGTGTAAACAGGGAGAATTTGACTTTCTCTAGTTAATACTTCTCCTTTTCCTTCCTGCTTATTTTGTGAAAAGAGACTATAAAATAACTTTTCATCTAGAATGAAACTTACTCAAAATCAAACATGCTAGAGATACGGAGCCTGGACAGTGTCCTATTGTTGAAGCATCTTAATGTCTCCATTTGACTAAAGTTGAAATGGAAAGTTTCCTTTTAGCAACAATTCTTCGTCTAGGAGTCCCTCTAGAAAAAGGTGCATATGTAATCCTCGAAGAACTTCTTTTTCCCCTATTAACCATTTTTCTTTTTTTTAAAATGGTGCTTCAATATTTTGCCGGTAAATTTTCGAGCGCCCTTCTAATTCTTCATATCTTCTCATGTAAGTAAGTTTATTTTTGCTTAATGAGAGGTGCATAATTTCAATTTCATCTTCATGTTTTGTTTGGTGTCGTCTGACATGATTTAAAATTAGCAAAAGGACAATATTTCCTTTTGGAGAATAAGGTCGTTTGCACGACTGATGCCCATTTCTTCGTAAGTTGCACTTTGTCATGGATTTCCTCTGCACCTAAGTAATGTTAAAAAAAAAAAAGAAATAATTCCTCTCAAACAGAAACTGATAAAAAAAAAAAGAAGAAATAATTCTCGTCTGAAAAACTTTGAACATATATATCACGCCATCATTCTTCAAAACCTCTCCTTAGTCTTCTACCATCGAAATAGCATTTCATATCCACACTTTCTGATTCCAAACACTTTTGGTTTGACATTTTCCAGTCTACCTCAATTGATTACTGTATTATATACACTTCATGTATTATATTAATTATATCCACGTACTTCTAATCCTTACACTATATTTAACAACAACAAAAAAACGCTATAAATATCGGATCGAAATACTGTTTTTGGCTACATGTGAGTTCAATATTCGCCCCTCCTCTGCTCGCATATCCCATCCGTTTTAGCACAGAAACGACTTTAAAAAGCCCTGCACGCGTCACGCGAGTTTCACGCACTATTAGAATATTAGCATTATTACGTAGGGACAAAACAATCACTTGCAAGTAGAAATAGTCGAGCAAAACACTTGCACTTGAAGTCAAATATAAAATAATTATATACATGCATGTTCTTGATTAGTTTATGAATTTAACATCTCTTCTTTATAGATTTCAAAACTTCCAAGTTCATTCTCCCCATTTTCCATAGCACATACGCTAACTAATGAAGATGAGGTGTTCAATCATATTTCTTTGCATTCTAGCTTATGCGAATGTGACAGTTTCAGAGAAATTGTCACCCTACGATGTTCTCGAGAAATATGATCTTCCAGTGGGTCTTCTTCCGAAGGGTGCCACGGGGTATGAACTAAACGAAAAAAATGGGCACTTCACAGCGTATTTGAATGAAACGTGCATCTTCGGCATAAAGTCTTATGAGCTTAAGTACAAGTCCACCATCAAGGGAGTGATATCTAAGGGCAAATTGGCGAAGTTGAAGGGTGTTAGTGTGAAGGTTGAAGTGTTGTGGCTCAAAATCGTTGAGGTTACTCGTGACGGCGATGATCTTCAATTCTCTGTGGGTATTGCTTCTGCTGGATTTAGCGTCGACAGCTTTTCGGAGAGTCCTCAGTGTGGATGTGGATTCGTTTGCAACAGTTTCGATAAAAATGGTGATGTTTCTTCTCTTTAGATTAAATCCAACAGGATATAGAAGAATTCCGATCTGTTGCTTTGTTTTTTCCGTCCTTAATCATTGATCATCATGTTGTTGTCCTTCGCATGAATTATGGCCTATGGTGCTTTGAGGTAGACACTAGACAAAACAGCATTACATAAATCATGAAAAATTAGTCTCCATCAATTTCTCAACATCATGTGCTTTTTGAGTTTCAATCCATACGAAGAGTGTCTTTTAAAAGTGTATTATCAGTTTTTTAGATAAAAAATATCATAAATGAGTATTTATGTGATATACGTACTATTTTTTTTTTATAAAAATAAATAAATAAAGGCAATCATGCAGTGGTTGAATTTTTTTAAATTGGTTGGCCGACAAGTCTTATTATCCTGTCTTTATTGACATGTCAAAATCCATATGGAACAACTGTTAAATGTATTTGGAATGAGTTTTTATTAACGCACTCTCTTATATGATTTTAATATAGGTTAAAATCCTTATTTGGTCCCTTATAATATTTTTTTGTTTTAATTTAGTCTCACTTTAATTTTTGGTTTCAATTTGGTCTTCAATAATTTCAATTATTGCAATTTGGAACTTCCGTCCAAATGATTTAAACGGAGTTAACTGTTGGCCACGTGGATGTCAGGTGAATACCACGTAGATACATAGATAGACGCCAGATCTCACGAATACACTTAGAACCAGAACGGCCCGTTCTGAAACCAGAACGACCCGTTCTGCATGCACATGTTATGTGTTAATTTTTCAATTGGAACAGGTCGTTCCAAATGCAAATTTAACAAACCATGGGTGCATCAGAACGGGCCATTCTGAAACCAGAACGGGCCGTTCTGGATTCAGAACGGCCCGTTCCAGAATGCCAACTTCATGCATGCGTTGACCAAAATGTCACACTGTTATTCAAAAATTGAAAATAAAAATTCATAACATATCATAAATTCAAAGACAGAAACATGGTTCGGAAACTGAAAACAAAAATTCAAAACATAACATATACTAAAAAAGTTCAAAGAAATTATTGAGAAAGAAAATCATCTGGGTAACGCTGAAGAGAAATCCTAAACCACAAAAATTCAGGTTGTGTCTCCTCAAGAACAGATTGTTATTGTTGGGGTACATCGTCAATGACTTCAAGGGGAAACATCGTTTCGTTTCATCCTTGATTGTATAGTGTCAATTTGGTAGTAAGTGGTTCACTCCAGTTTGACTAACAATAAAATAAAACATGCTACCATTGTCCTTAGTGATACACTACATCGTCTTTAATAATACACTGTATAGCCCAAATGTTTAGCAATTGAAGTTATCAATCCCCATTGACAATATTATCAAATCTAGTGTTTGAAATGCTTTGTACCTTGGATCTTTTTCCTTGCACGATTCACAACGTGAACGGTAGGCATTGAGCATTCTGGAACTAGAACGACCCGTTCTGGTTACACTATTGGTGTGTAAATTTGGCATCTGGAATGGCCCGTTCCAGGTACAAAATTTACACACCAAGAGTGCAACCAGAACGGGCCGTTCTGGTTCCAGGTGTATTCAAAAAATTTGGCATCTATCTACGTGGCATTCACCTGGCATCCACGTGGCTAACAATTAACTCCGTTTAAATCATTTGGACAGAAGTACCAAATTGCAATAATTTAAATTATTGGGACCAAATTAAAACCAAAAATTAAAATGGGACTAAATTGAAACAAAAAAATATTATAAGGGACTAAATAAGAGTCTTAACCTTTTTTTCTTTAAAGAAAAGGGTTCTAACCTTTTAATATATTAATAATAATAATAAATTTTATTGTTGATTTTTTTAATTAGTATCTCAAAATGTTTTTTGAAAATAATATAAAAGTGATTTAATAAAAAAAAAGTTATAATTTTAAGCATGATTTAACGAAAATGAAATGTTGGATGATAACTATTCCTTTTTTATAGTTACTTTCTAGATTCAGAAGATCTTGATCCCAATTCGACATAGTTGATACTGAGCATATACCTTCATAGCGTGATCCTTTAGTTGATCTAATTAAGAGAATGTCTTTGATATCAAGTTTTAGATTGAGATTTAAGATCCAGAAGATGACTGATAGATACACACATCTTAACGGAAACGAAATTGAAACTGATAACTCGTAAAAAGGGGCATATTTTTGTTTGGGGATATTGATACATGTACATTTTTAAGAAATTATGTTATGGTCATGATTTGCAGCATGTTTAGGTATTTTTTTATTTAATCTATAATCATTTTTTTAATTTATAAAAAAAAATTTGATTATATATAAAAAATTTTGCTAATACACGTGGTAATGTGGACGTGTTAAAATATTCTCTAAAGAGGAGGATATATAAAAGGATAAATAGAAAGAAAAAATATGATAAACAATACAAATAGACATATTTTTATAATTTTTGAATGAAATTAACGCAAATCCAAAAATGCAATTAATTTGGTGCTCGACACACAAAATGGATCATGTATGGTGGTAACAATTATTTGATTTAAGAGATGCTAATGTTCAGTTGGAAAATAAAGGAAAAATAATGTGCTTTTACACAGTTTTTATCCGGCACAAAAGGCTGGTGTTGGACACCTGTGATAGAGTAATATGAGGAAATAAAAAATAAACCATAATCAATAAATGTATGTGGGCTTGGGTTCACGAAAGAAATAAAAAGATAACAATTATATAGGCCTAATAAAACCGGGCTTAACAAATTATTGGGTTAAGAATAAAAATTCTTCTCTAGACTCTAGAGACAAATGGGATCATGACTTCAAAGAAGAAAAAAGTAATAAAACTACGTTGAATCGCTAAAATTTAAATTATAACCTCAAAAAAAAATTACGTAACTATTTTTTTCAGCACTAGTAACATTATTCGAAATTTAATTTGTATTAAAAATGGAATTATTTCATTTATAATTTTTTGACAAAAAATAAATCAACATTCTTTAACCTACAATTAAAATTCAAATACATGCAAAAGTAAATTTATATTTATTATAATGGAGATATCGACATATATACTAACTTTTAATCTCTACTTTTTAATAGAACATTATATTTTTTATATATTTTCTAAATAATTATCTACAACCTTTCTAATATCTGTGTATATACAAACCTTTTGTATAATAATAATAATAAATAAATAAATAAATAAGAATATGAAACTTCATTTCTTATGCTTGGAAAATTAAGAGAGAGGAGATCAAATAACATTATACCATATTATCAATCAGGCCTACTAGAATTTTAAAGACGATATTTTCATTTTTATTTTGTCATGACTATAAAAAAAAAATCTACCACACAATTTATCTTTTGTTGGAGGTTTTTTTTATTTGTCAAAATTAGTGACTTCTTATACTCGACTACCAGAAATATTGCGTAAAAAATATACTTAATTTGCTAAAAATTATGATTCTCGATAATATAAGTATAATTATTTCATATTTAATTTTAAAAAAATTATAAAATAACACAAATTAATGTTTTATTTGTAGAGAGAACAGAAAGAAATAAAAAAAATGAAAGTAAATAAAGAAAAGAGTGATAATTAAAAAATAATTATCTTATCTTATCTTTATTATTATTGTTGTCATTATCATTATTTATTAATATCATCACGATTGTTATCATGATTCATGACTCAACTGCTATCATTATTATTGTCACATTTATATACCATTATCACTATTATTATTATCACCACCATTATTATTTATAAAAATGAAGAAAAAAAGAAGAAGTATTTTTTCTAGTTGTTATACTTCGGACAATAATAAAAAATGAGACTATTTTTTCTTTACAAAAGTACATAAATAAAAATTCAATAGGTTTTATTTTTCTTAAATTCATTGTTTTATGAATGAATCAAGTATAAGTTAAGTTGTAGAGATTGATAAGGGTGTGTTTGAAAAAAAAAAAGTTTAACTTAATCCACCTTAACTTCAATGACAACATAAGGGTGTTAGTTACAAAACAGTCTTAATCTATACACACTCTATTTTGTTGGTAAGTTGGACAAATCTAGACCAGTGTTTGCTGGACGTAAATGCAGTTTGTCTTGTTTTAAAATTCGATATGTATTAACCATAAGTACCGGTGTGACTTCTAGCACAGTGCTTCAACAATTTTGGGTTTGTTAAAAAAAATGAATTTTGGGTTTCATACTTTCATTAGAGGGAATAGCAAAGGGATAAGTGGTCTCAATGTGAAGAGTTAAAAACCGGGGTTGGTTCGGGTAAAAACAGAGCTCTGTTTTCGCAAAGCATATTTAAAGGCTATTTGATATGAAGTCTACTTTTCGCATAATATTTTTCCAAGGGCTTTTTGACTCTTTTTCTTTCTTTCTCCATTTATGCTGACTTGCTTTTTTTTTTTTTACACCTGAATTGATGGAATTAACAATCATCTAAGTTTTATGCTTTTTTATCTGGTTGTATAAAACGACATCCAAATGTGTTCACATTTACTAAAATCAAGTTAATAAGTGGGCCATTGAGATGTGTCTTTGTATGGTGATTGGTGAGAATCTCCTCTCCAGTCTCAAGAAAAGTCTAAAGAAAAGAAAAAAAGGTAGAAGTTTATCCACACAAATTTTGTACCAACCACACGTTACAATTCTATTGAAAAACAACTTTTAATATCTCTCCATCCTCTTTAATGGTTAATTTCCTTTCTTTTGTTAAATTAGATTTCATATATTTTTGTATGGATAGTATATTGTTCTTACTACATAGCATAACTAAAAGAAAATTCCAAAATAGAGGACTGAGTTACGTATTGGAGTCTGAAATATGATCTTTCTTAATTAGAATCATAGCCGTCAAAGTTGAAAGTGTTACTTTCACTTATTTTTTGTTTCTTCATACTTTTCCTTTTCAATAAGATTCCTTTTTGTATCCTTTACGCACGACTTCCTTGTTGGCTTCACAATCTCTTAAAACTTACAGTGTTGCCAATTATTTATGATTAAGTCATTAAACGGGTGAATCGTGAATCTCACTCTGAACATCCCTATCCACTATTTGTGCAAACATGACATGGGTCCCTAAGTTTGTTCAAATAAAAGAAAAAGCCTTCAGATAGATTCCCAACTTTTCGGTGATACAGAAGGGTGGGGGGGTGACTATTACTAATGAATGGTGCCTATCAAATTGTTCCTCCATTGATTAGCACAGATGGATTAGCACAGATGCACTTGCCAAACCATACCCCATGGGAAAATTCACTAAAACTAATGTACCCGAAATTATTGTTTGGCAATCTGATTAAACATTAGATACGTAACCAAAACTAGATTGCATCGAATATTTCATCGATACTACCAATGAATTTCGGAATAAGCATATAATGCTCGAATTCAGCGAGTTAATTAATTGAATATACGCACAATACAATACAACACAACACAACACAACCAACCAACCAAGAAATTACATATTCTCTTATCTACTCATGCATCGAATATGAACGCAAAACAGAACTGTTGATCGTCACCAATTAATTTCTGACACTGACACATAAGAAAACATCTAATGAAACACTTCTATATTTTGTGGTGGTGTATTGATTTCAAGTTGAACCAAGAATCGGAATCCCAGATTTTCTCATCCTGTCCTTTCTTTTTATTCTCCGTTTGTAGTTAAAAACAAGGTAGTACTAGTGGAGACATTGTCGATGTTTTTGGGTAACAGGTGCAGCTTTATCCACATGCATGAGTTAGAAATGGAATCCCATTAAACTATCGTAGCAGAGTTTGTTTCATGCTTGGGCTGCATCAAGCAAAGATAACTACGTCTACATCACCCCCTGTCAAACCAATTGCTTCAATCATAAATCGTTCGCTGCTGGTTAATCATACGTTAGGTAACGTGTTTATAGCATAAATAAAATAAAGCAATACGATATTGGTTGGTAATGGAATATCAAGTTTCAGTCTACATACATTGACATAATGTCATGAAATAAAATAATCAACCGGAATTATAAAAACTTATTTCTTTTTTTTTTACTTATCAGTGCGTGAAAGTGAGAAATTGAACAAGAAACATTTTCCTTCGTAATTGGTTATTAATCGATCAATATTATAATATTTCTTCGGCTATTTATTATCAGACATAATTTAAAATGAAATTTTGATATTTTTTATAAGTCAGTTTATGATCTCTATCGAATATTAATTTTTTTAATTAAAAATTGTGAGAGTATGTATTTTTTTTTATTGTTGGATAAGAAGATAATTTGATAAATAAATTTTTTTTCTCAAACCTCTTAAATTATTTATTGTCATCTTATCAATTTTATTCAATATTAATGAACTTTGATATAGAATAATATCTTTATCTATTTTATGAAAATTTTGACAATAAATAATTTATAGTGCGATACAATATTATTTTTAATTATGGATAAATTTATTTTTAAAATTTTAAATTTAATTTATAAATAAAAGTTTAATTAGATTAGAAGTTATTTTATAAAAAAAAAACTTATTATTAAAGATAAACTTCTAACAGTACTATTGCACAAGATAATTGATCATGTTTTTTTGGTAGAGTGATGAATAAACAAACAAAACAGACATAATTGATCATGTTTAAGATATAAGGTGGATTAAATATCTTAATTTTAAAAAATAAAATAAAATATTCGAAGAAGTACAAACCAAAAACAAAAGTTTAATTTATATAAATTGTAGTGTAAAATAATTTTACATATATATTCAATAGAAAAAGATATAATAAAATGATAAATAATTATTGGATGTCGTGTTAAAAAGTTTTACAATGACATTCTATACGACTTAAATTTTAAAATTAATTCATATTCCACTAAAAATATTAAATGATAAAAAGAAATTGTATTTTTTTCTCAAATATATGCATTGGTTTTAAAATATTGTTGACAAGAAATATAATTATTGTTACTGCTACACATGATTTTTTTAAAATCAAAAATTAATTATTTAAATTTTATTCAATATCATCTACTTTAATAACTATCCAAATTCATATTCATTATCCTCCTTTAGCATTATTATCACAAAAGTTACAAATCAATCATAATAAGTTAAATGATTTTGATAACAATTATTTTTTAAAAAAAATCACATCAAAATTAAACTTAAATAGATTAATTATATAACAAAAAAAACATGATAAGGTTGTTATTATCTATACTGATAATAAAAAATATTTCCTATTTTCATGTACATAATTTTTGGAGTATTTTATTCTTAAATTTTTAAATAAAAAATAATATTATTAAAAATTAATTATTATTATTACAAATTTAAGATTCAAATCCAAAACCTTTACATTTAAAGACTAATCACAATATCACTTGATTCAATAAATATTAATAATTTTTAAACATCTTCCACACAAATTTAATTTGTTACCTCCAAGTCATACATGGACTCCACTAATAATTACGAAAACTAGTTTAGGTTGTTACGGGAAGTGATGCGAAGAATAAATTTAAGCGGTTAACAGTATAAAATCTTTTAAAATTGTTTATACGCATTAATTAAACTCAAAGACTTTCATCTCTAGTATATAATCTCTCCCTTAACGCGTTTATGATGGTGAAAGAATGGAAGCTGGAACCCATGACACAGAAACCAATTTAAAAAACAAAAACCTTCATGTAATCATGAACATTATAAGACATTACAATTAGCTGCTAATGCATCCTACCGTACCCTAAAAGGCTAAAACTAAATCAGGGTCTTCTCTTCATCAGGCAGAGAAACAGAGCCAAGCCACGATTGAAATCTTGAACCCCACATAACCAAATTCGTTAATTATCTTAGTGAAGGCGTTAATTAATATTTGTTTAATCCATTGGAATTAGTTGTTGTTGGATTTTTTGCCAAGAAGCCTGGCCCGTAATTCGGCAACGTCAATCTCGTTGATGTTCTCGGGCTTATAGTATCCAGTGACAGGATCTGGCACCCACGAAACCTTGTACGGAGAAACAGTTTTGTCTTCCCCTGACTTGGGTGCCATAGAGGCCATTCCACTTCCACCCTTTGTTGCGTTTTGTGATGCCATGGCGTACCCACGTCTGTTAAATTAAAAAACCATATGTTATATTATAAACCATTAACCATGCATGTCATTAATCATTATTAACTAAGTAGGGTACCTGGTGATGCTGTTGGAGAATCGGTGGAGGAGAGAAGAGAAGGTTTTGACGTTAGTGAAAGAAGGAGCCATTGGTGATTGAAGCAGAAGTTATAAGTGGAGAAGGGTTATGAGTTTGTCGTTATGGGGAGAAGAGGTAGAGAGTAGGGTGGTTATATAGAGAGTGAATTGATTAAGGCAGAAACAGAAGAGAATATTAGGGCGTTAAAATATGAAATTATTGGTGAGGAAAGGGTCGCATCGAATAAACAAATACATTTCAAATTAACCCCGGTAATTAGGAATGCCAACAAGATTTTCAAAACAGATGGCTAATGGAGAATCAATTCTATCCTCATAATTATAAAAAAAAAAATTAATATTGAAAAATCTTAACTCTTTTATGATACATAATCTTTTGTTCTTATCTAATACTTATCTTTATTTTTTTCTGATAAAAAAATACTTATTTGTGTGTTTTTAAATAAAATCAAATAGTAATTTGATTATAAAAACTTTAAGCTGACATTTCTTCGTTATCACTAAAACTTTAACTTACAATTCCTTTTATTTAAAAATTAAAAATCAATTTCTCATTTCAAGACATTTTTTCTATATTTTTAAATTAATGTTTTTTTTCTTAAAATTAAGTTGCTTATATCTAGTCCTTAACTCAATATTACTGGAAGATAGTCAATAAACTAATCTCATAGGTGACTCAGTGAAGCAAACTAATGTCAACCCTGACAATAGTACTAAACTTCATCGTTTTAGTGATAAAGCTTGAGAAAGCAATTAAGTTGTTAGATGAACTAATTGAGATATGATTGTGGTTTGGTAGGGTCTAATCCCTTAAATTGCTCACTTCTGTTACAGAATATCGATCTCATTAGTTGATGTGCATGATGATGTATTAGTTGTATATTATTATATGACTATGTGGTTGAGATAAAGTTATTAAAATGTTTGATGTTGTATGTTGTGTGAGTAGCATTGGTGACGAATTGAAGTTACATGTTGAAAATATTGTTGTTTATGTTATTCACATAGATGTTTGATGTTGTGCTTGTATGTTACTTTTATTTCACAAACTTATTTTGTGGTTTTTCTTATGGTTGAAATTGTTATAATCATACTTTGGTATGGAAGCATGTTAGGATTAGGTGGAGACTTGATTGTAGAGGTGACAAGTCATGCCAGGGATTACTCTTTTTGTGACGTTGTTCGTTGTAGCATGGTCTTGTATAATCATTTGATCGACAAGTAGGATGATGAACATACCTTGGTATATGTTGTGTATTGTATCTGTACATGTTTTATTTTTATATTTACTCTTTATACATATGACAATATGCATGATAATTCTAAGTTAGTAATACGTTGTTTTACTTTTCTTGTTGTGTAGTAGCTGAATTATAACAAGTGTAAGACTTGTAAGGTCATTACACTTCAATTTTTGCTTTTTAATAATCAATTGTACGTCTTAATGTTATAACAATCTATTTTAATTGCTTTGCTTACTAGTGTTTTAGAATATGAAACACATATGTAAAATATTTATTATATACAACCATAATTTGTAATAAATTACATATACAAATAAATATTATGTTTGAATATAAAAATTAAATTAAAATTTGCGCAAATAAATATTTTTAAACATATGACTTATATATTTTAGATTCATGATAAATAATTTAATTTATAGTGTTACTTTTTAATTTATTTATTAACTCTTATATATTAAACACAAATATTTATTTTGTATGAGAGTATTTTTAGATTTTTTTTTTCGATGAAAATGTTTTTAATTTTTTTTAGTTTCTTATCTAATTTATTTTTATTTGTCATGAATATTTATGAATTAAAATTTATTATTTTTAAGAATAAATTATCAAAAAAGAAAATAACATTGTGATACAATATAAATTATCTATCATAAATAAAATATATAACTTACATTTAAAACATGTATTTATATAAATTTTAAATATAATTAATATATTCAAACATAATATTTATTATAAATTTTAGTTATATATAATTAATATTTAACCTATGCATCACATAAACTAAAATACTAGTAATAATTAAGAGTGTTGACAAATAAAGAAGAGTTGCAATTATTAAATAATAAATATGTCTTAAGAAAAGTGGAAACCAAAAAATAGTATTTGTTTCACTTATTGTTATAAATTTAAATATATATTTGTATAGTATAAATATAGATTATAATGGGTGAAAAAATAATCTATTTATCTAATATCATTCGATATATCCATAAGTAAATTCATGTGATCCATTCAGTACGATGAAAATAAATAATAGATTGTATTCAATCTATCCATCTAATTTTCTGAATAATTAGTGAATTATCATGATTTTTAAAAAAAAATTCATTAGATTATAATATGAGATGTTTATTAGATATATTAAATTTTTAAAAGACTATTTTGATATTTTTTTTATTAATTTTAAAAGATTATATAAAAGTGTAATGATTTATAAAAAAAAAGAAATAAAAAAATAAAAAAATAATTTAATTTTTAAAATATAATTTTTATGAATGAATTTAATTTCTATCTATCATTTTTTTAATGAATGAATTGAATATATATTTTTTCAAATAGATAAAATGAATTAAATTTTAAAACGAATTTTTAATGAATTTAAATGAATTAATAATTTTTTATTCAATCTATTACCACCTATCTAAAAAATTATCCAATTAATTCAGATCCCCAAATTATATACGATATAAATAGAACTAAAAATAAAGCAATATATAGAAATCTAAAACAATAAAAAAAATAGAAAAATATAAACATTACATATTAATGAATGAAATAATTATAAAGAAAAAAGAAAAAAAGAGACATTTTATGTCTCTACATACTTATTAGAAAAATAAAAATAACAAAAATTATTGAAAATATAATAATTGGAGTTTCATCTAATGGGAGAAAATAATTATCCAATTATGATTATTATTAGAGATAATATTTTACGGTTACTAAAAGAAAATATATAGTTAAAATGATAAATAAAGGGTCAAAATAAAAATATTTTAAACAAAAAATACATAAATAAATAGAAAGAAATAAGTTTTATATATAATATAGATTTATTTAATATAGGTTCTCTCCTGTCTTTTAAATTTTTAATATTTTAATCAATTTTATTAGTATTAGGGTATAAATATTAATATACAGTAATATATTTATTTTTTTATGAAAATTTAATAATAAGTAAAAATGGTGAAATTAGTGCATAATAATTTTACTTTATGAACATAATAAAGTTAATTAAAATAGTACTTATATTAATATGTGTGATTTAGTTAAAAATGTCTTATAATAAATATGATAAAATATGTTATTAATGTTAAAAAAACAATTAATTGTTAAATTAAAATTATAAATTTTTTAAAATTAAAAAGCTAAAATGAATCAATAAATTAAATATTAGGGGAGGGAAAACGCAAATTCAATTTACAAATAGATTAAAAATATAATTTACCTAAAAATAAAAAAAACATTTGAAAATAAAACAATAATACAAAAATAATAAATTTATTATTTATGAAAAATTATAATTGAACAAAGATATTTTGTTCAATTATAAAAAAATTGAACAAAGATATAAAACTACTTGCTGTATAACCGTTCACGAAAAAAAAAAAGAAAAAAAGAAAATTGAGACAGCAACTAAAGATGATGGGAGGTGGGAAGGAAAAGATGAAATAAAATTGATGGAAGTGGTGTGGTGAGGTTAAGTATTTTGTTTAGATTCTAGGGTATAGGGTTTAAAATATATTGTTTTGGTTTTAGATATATGGTAAAAATTTGATATTTACGTAGTTTTTACGTAATATTTATATAATATTCACGCAGTTAATTTTGTCAAAATAATTTAAACGAAAATTTAATATTACAAATAATTAATTTATTAGGAATTAAATTGAGATAAAAAATAAAAACTGAGATTAAATTAAAATAAAAATTATTATAAAGGATAAAAAGAAGTTTTTAACCGAATAAAATTGATGGAGGTGGTGTGGTGACTGGTGAGGTTAAGTATTGGGCTATTAGCGATGACGACACTGTGATGACGCCGTCATTTATTCTTAACTCAACTCATCCACTCAAAGGCGGTCCATAAATTAACTACTTGAATCTCGCCTGCTTTTTGTCTCAACTCATAACACTACTATTTTCATTTAATATATCATTAGATCTTTCAATACTTTTATTTTATTTTTAAATACATTTCTAAATTATAAAACATTCATAGATCACACTAAAATTATAAATTAAATATAAAAAATTTAAAAATATAATTTAGTTTAAAAATATATAATTATTTTAAATCCTACATTTCATAAATAGAAGAGACTAAGTATAAAAACTAAAAAATATTTATTTACACAATATACAAAATTAAGAATGATTGTATTTTTTTGGTTCTAGTAGAAATAAAAAGTTCAATTTTATTAGTAATTGTTATTTTAGTCCAAAAAATTTGCACATAACAAATATTTATTTGATATGACTATAATTTAAAAAATAAATATATTTTAAATATAAATTATATTATAATTAAAATTTATAATAAATACATATTTTTGGTACATATAATTTATATTTTATATTTATCATATATAATTTACACGGTAATATAAATTAGGAGATCAAAATAACATATTAAATATAATAGAGAGACAACAATATAATTTAATTTTAAAATATATAATTATTTTAAATTTTATATTTTATAAAAGGGTTAAATCTGGTGTAAAAAAAATAAAAAATATCTATTTACACAATAAATAACATATTATATTTTTATGTTCATTGATATAGAAAAATATTTATAAAAAAAATGCTTAAATAGAAAAATATTTGTCGGGCAACATGGCTTATACTTGATGGTTATTTGGCACATTATTGGACTGCAAGTTTTTGATTTATCCAAACAACATTGGGCCAACCAAATGAAAAGGCCCAAGGTTTTGAAAGTCCCCTTCAACGTCCCCGCCGTGGGTTAGGGTTTTAGTCTTACTTCACCTCCGTGCTCGAAAAACAAAAACACACTCTTCTCTCTCCCGCGGATCGTGTGATTGCTCTGAAACCGCCACAAGAATGGGAGAAAGGAAGCGGAAGGAGAGAGGCGAAGGTAACAACCAAAGCCAGAAATCGAAGAGAAAACCAAACGATAAACGGAAGAAGAGAGGCCCTCGTTTGCCCTCATCTCTGCAAAAACAGCTCGAAAGTTTAAACCCTCCCACTTCCTACGACAGCGTCGATTCCGACGACGACAATGATGTATACGAATACGAGGAAGAACGTGCTGAGGAAGAGTCCACCAGGAATAAGCGTTACGACCCTGCTTCCGTCAACGATGACCTTTCTCAAGTGCTCGAGGTATTTCCTCTTTTTTTTTTCTCCAATATTTTGGTTTGTATTATTTCATTGATTGGTAAATTTATATTTCAACTAATTTATACTGGATAATTTCATTCATGCTTTCACTTGTATTTTAGGATGAGAATGTGCAATCTGATGATGAAAGTGAGGATGATGATCACATTGGGACAGAGAGGAATGGTAACGCTATGACTGACGATTCTGGAGAGGAAGATGACGGAAGGCATGGAAGGATGTTACAAGCAATAACTGGTATGCCGAGTGAGGCGTTTGAAGGTAAGAAAGTTGCTGTTTAACTTGTGTTACCCATTATTTATGTTAGAACAAAGAGGCAATGAGGCATGCTGTCAATTTATATGTGAGAATTAAGCAATAGAGAAGCATATGAAGTTTTTAATATTTCGTAGTTTTTAACTGGGCACATTTAAATTTAATAGCTATATACAAAATAATAAATGTTAAATTTTATCAATCCAAATGTTGAATTATATGATATTATACTAATGATCATGTATACCAAACACCAAATTTTAAACAAGTTAGACATTCATAAATATGTAATCTATTAGTAGAAATTTACTTATATTTAAAAAAACATATTAGATGTTCTAATCAGGTGATATGATGAAATATCAATTCTGAAATTATAAGAAATAACAGTGTTGATATTTTTCACGGGAACTTTCTATTTAACAGTTGGTTTGATAAAATTTAACATTTTAAAAAGTTATAGAAGGTGTCAGTTTGTCAAGTTTTCCACCTGGTGTCAATATCACTGCTCTAATTTTATTGATCCTACTGTTGTTGCCCTTTCTATTGTGTTTTCAGAATTGTGATATGATACACTGGTACATTTTAATCATAATGCAGAGAACAAGAAGAAAAAAAAGATGATGGACAATATTATACCAGAGCTGTATCCAGAGTCTGAATATAATCCTAGTCGCGATGTTATGGATGGTGATGGACGCATTAGCATAGATGACCTACTGGATTCTCTTCGTGAAAAACCTGGTTATGGAAAACTTAGGAAGAGATCAGATCGAATTAATAAGAATTCTAGAACTATGCATGCACCACTTTCAAAGGCAGTTCAAGCAAAGGTAGAGAGGAAGGCAGCATATGAAACATCAAAGAAAGATGTCACTAAGTGGCAGCCTATTATTCAGAGAAATAGAGAGGCACAAACTATTTTTTTTGATGAAAATGTAGACTTAGGGTTTTCAACTATAGGAGCAATAGCTTCCGAATTTGAACCCAGAACTGAATTTGAGAAGAAAATAGCTGCACTAGTTCATGATGACAAAGTTATGGAAGCTCATAAACAGGATGGATCTAAGCTTCTAGAAATGAACGAGGTATGAATGTTGTTAATATTAGTTGATAATTGAATTTGACATTACAGATGGTAGCTGATTATCAAATTTGGAATTTGATTAAGTAGTCTTTTTTCTGATTCCCATGCTTTCCTTGTTTCTGTTGTATGATAACAGTGTCTTGATTAGTCATTGGCAAAGTTGATTAGATGCGGTGTTGCGTACTTGGGAGCATTTTAGTTTCTAACAGTCAAACTTGAATTTGTTTGTTAAACTAAAGGGATTGGATATTGTTATGAAATGCATTTGATTTAAATAAAGAAATTCCTTATGCCTATTACAACAACAGTAAAGCCTTATCCCACTAGAATTTCCTTCTGCCTAGAAAGATTTAAAAAATGTAAACTCAATCTAACTGACTTGTTTGAGGGGGAAATTAAATGGTATTTTTTTTTCTGGAGTGAACTTTATTATTATTATTATTTTTTTTTTGGGGGGGGGGGTCTTATTATTAAAAGTGTTTGTAATGATATAAGCAGGACAACACAGGCTAAATTGTCTTGTGCGTTTTGGACAGTAACTAACAACAACAACTTCAAGCTCTATCCCCCAACAAATCCAAATGCATTCCCTACACTGTGATATTTGGCTCAGGCTTGTTCATATAATTCAAAAATAAGTCCTCACTTTTTAATCTATGTGCCCCCCCCTCCCTCTCATTATTCGTATTCTTTCACCCTCTTATTGAACCATGTAGAAAAATTTAATAACATGAATGAATGAATAGAATATCAATCTTTTAGGAAGATTCCATGCATGCATCACTTCTGCCTAAAAGTAATAATAAGTTCGTTCCAAACACCCTGCAAGTCCTCACTTTTTAATCTATGTGCCCCCCCCTCCCTCTCATTATTCGTATTCTTTCACCCTCTTATTGAACCATGTAGAAAAATTTAATAACATGAATGAATGAATAGAATATCAATCTTTTAGGAAGATTCCATGCATGCATCACTTCTGCCTAAAAGTAATAATAAGTTCGTTCCAAACACCCTGCATAAGCTGACATACCACTTTTTATGATCCTGGCAACTACATGGAGGTAGACAAGCCATAAATCTTAACTTGATTGATGTCTTCAATATAACCCAGTTTTGATTTTAAGTGCCATGGAATGTTGTCATCTGTGCCTGTTGGAGTTTAACAATAAAATAGGCATTGACTATGTCTTTAAAGCTCTACTTTTTGAGTAATCGTTTTAGCCCATTTTTTTTTATGCACATGGCATGGAAATATTTATGTATGGCTGTTTTTCAATTGTTTTATGAAGTTTATTATGTCTGACAGGTCTCTGTTGAAGATGAGAAAGATAGGCAAAATCGGATTGCTAAATTGCGGAGCCTTTGTTTTCGTCATGAAATGAAGGCAAAGCATATTAAAAAGATAAAGTCCAGAACATTTCATCGTTTGTTGAAGAAAGATAAATTAAAGGCAGAAGCTTCTCAGATACAAATGGACCCTGAAGCTGCCGAGGAATTTGCCATGAAACGAGAGCGTCAAAGAGCAGAGGTATATCATCATCCCTGAAGAAATAAGAACTTGAAGATTTTAGGCCAACCAATGCAATTTTCTGATACATCTATATCTGCTTGATTGCAATGCGAAAGTTATTTATTAATCTTTTTATCACTTCCCATCTTGGGTACAGGAACGCATGACACTGAAGCACAAAAACAAGAATCGGTGGGCTAAGCGTATCCTACAGCGTGGTTTAAGTAGTCAGGATGAAGGAACTCGCGCTGCCATTGCTGAACAACTTCAAAAGCATTCTGATTTGACTAGAAAAATGCAAACCATGGAGGGTAGCAGCAGTAGCAGTGAAGATACCAGTGATGAGGATGATGAGAACTCTGCTGGTTCTGATCAGGATAGGACTCGCAAGGTTTTGGAAAAAGCGAAAGAAAAAACAATGAAAGTGTTGGATGAAGAGGATGAAGTTCCCAAATCAGGATTGCTTTCTTTGCCTTTTATGGTAATGTCCATTTTTTTTTTCCTGAAGGAAATATTATTGTAACCTAGCCTCTCATGTTAATTCTTTTTCCTAATCCTGAGAAGACTGTCAAGTGCTTCAAATTTTGTTCTATTGGCACCTGAAACCGGAATGCATATATCTTTAGCTTATGCTATTTTTGTTTTTATATATTCTTTAGTATCCAATGTAGAGATTGAAATTTGTCGGTTGGGAAGTTTTTCTTATTTGTTTGTGATCTTCCATTGATTTGTTCTCATGTAGAGGCGCGGATTGGAGAAAAAAAGAGAGGCAGTTGTTGAAGAAGCCAACCTTGCATCCCAAGAATATGAAAATCTGTTGAATTCTGGTGGCTCAGAAGATCCAAAAGTGGCTTCTACCAGTGGTAGAAGAGTATTTGGAACATCAAAAGCCCAGATATCTGATACGAGTAATAAGGGTAAATCAGATAACTTTTATGGTGGCAGTGATAGTGAGGATGACTTGGGGACCAGCAAAAGTGGCAGCATTGAGAATGAGGGAAGTGGGCTTTTGCATAAGGATGTAAACAATGATTCAGTTGTAATTCAAGAAGACACTGATACTCACCAGGAATCTGTATTTAAGGTGGTGAAATTTTTTTTTTGGAACTTTTTATTAAGTTTATGTCCTTGATAGATGATATATTTAATGTATTTTTTTATTCACAGAACATTGATGAGATTATTAAGAATCCTGGGCCAAAAACTACATATGAAGTTTCTATATTTGTGTCGGATGCATGGAAAAAGGTTCAAATGCTTTAATATTCTGTTTTTTAAAATTTACTTTTTTATTAAAAAAATATAATCTATTTACAAAGTGGGTGTTCTGTTTTCTGATGCGTTTGTGATAAGCAGGCAAAAAACCAAAATGAAGACAGAACTATCAAGAAGTCTCCAAAGCTTAATGGGCCTGTTAAGCAAAATATACAAGTATGAACTGTTTCTATTTGTTAAGAATATAAAGTGTTATTGGTTTAGCCTTATACTTTGTCCTTGTATGTCTTAGGATACTGAAAAGGAATTTGGAGAGGATAGTGATACAGATAGTGAAGGACAGATGGTGGATGGAATTCTTTCTTCTGTTTCTAAAGTGTCGTATGAACTTCCATCTCAAGAGGAGCTCATTCAGCAAGCTTTTGCTGGGGATGATGTAGAAGATGATTTTGAAAAAGATAAGCAGGAGGTCCTCAACGAAGAAAATCCTGAGCCAGAAAAGCCTCTATTACTTCCTGGCTGGGGCCAGTGGACACATATACAGCAAAAAAAAGGTTTACCATCTTGGATGTTGAAAAAACATGAAGATGCCCGGAAGAAGAGGGAAGAATCCCTCAAAAAGAGAAAGGATGTTCAACTAAAAAATGTGATTATATCTGAAAAGATAGATAAGAAGGTTAGTGTCATTGAATGCAAGGTTTTGGACCTTCCGTATTCTTTTTCAGATTATGGATATCAACTTGATTCTATGCATGCAGCAATCTTCGTTTCCCATAAGAAATTTTTGGGGGTTATTCTGGATTGGCCTGTTTTTTAATATTGATGTTTGCGATGACACTAAACCTCATTACCATTTTTTTTTGTTCGTTCCCGGAGTATCCACCGCCGATTACCATTTGTAATAATTGTAATATTATTAATAGTTATTAATATAAGTAGTAGTAGTAGCTGTAAGTTACTCCTATCTCATTATATTCAAAAACTCTCCCTTATTCATTATTTGGTGTTTCCTTTTTGCTTAAATTATTTTTTTTCTTTTGGTAGACCTTCATGCTCTAATTCCAGTTTTATAATTTAGTGGCTTGAATCATGTCGCTAGCTGCCAAACATGCTTTTAAGTATCTGCTGATTAGTTCAGAACTTATTATTTTGGTTACCTTTTTTTTTCTCTCAAGTAAATTGAGCTGGTTTTAATTTTATACTCCCTTTTGGATATCGCAGGCTGAGAAACTACATACTAAATCATTGCCATACCCTTTTACTTCCAAAGAGGTATTTGAACAAAGCATGCGGGTGCCCATCGGTCCTGAATTTAATCCAGCAACTGCAATTGGTCCTCTTAACCGGCCTGAAGTAAGTGCTTCGGAACACTTCACTGGCAAACTTTGTATCGTTGAATTTTTCTTTGTTAAAATGTGCCATGCTGTTGTAGCCTTTATTTTAAGTAATAAATAGTATTTAGACAGTCTTGCTTCCTCTTGGAGGAGGAAAGACTTTAATTTATTGGATACTGTTTGTGGGTTTTAGTGGGATCTTGTCTTTATAAAAAATGAAACTACTTGGGAATAATACTGTAAGACGAATTTACATTTTTTTTCTGGCTGTCTTGTAAATATAATCTTCCATGTGCAGGTGGTGAAGAGACCAGGTGTTATTATAAAACCAATAGAGTTTGAAGATGTAAATCCTCATGAGAAAACAGAGCAACGGAGCGGAGATAAGCAAAAGTTGAAGAGAAATAAAGGCAATGATGGTAATCCCAAGAAAAAGGCGAAAGTGGGGGGAAAAATTTAATCGGCACGAGTTTTGGTTCTGAGGCAGTTCTAGAAATTTTCAGTTCAGTTTTTGGAAAGACAAACTTTTCCAGATTAAAAGAAGCCCAAGCGAGGTCAAGAGTTTACCAGTCTGGGGAGGCGGAAGTTTATTGTATTTGTATGCAAGGGAAGATAATAGAATTTTTGACAAAAATAGTTTTTTTTTTGGGTTCCCCTTCTTATCGTTGTAAGGTTAAATTTATCATTTTTTAAATAATTTAATGGCCCAATTGATATAAATATGTTTACTCCTAAGGTGGTGGAAATGATATATTATTTATGTGACATATTTTTCTCTCTCTACTTGAAGTTGTCAGAGTTCAATCTAACCGTTTGTGTAAAATTACCCCTTAGTATCAGTTTTTTTCTTCTTCTTTTCATATCTACTCTAGCGTGACTTTTAACTTCCTTACCATTTACGCATTGTTTTTAAAATTTGAGAAATGCTACACGAATAACAAATTGTTGATTAACTATTTAATATTTGTTATAATTATCATTTACATATGAATGAAAATTATTGAGAGATGATTTTAATCTTTTAATGTTGAAAGTTAAAAACAAATTGAAATGCGGAGTTTTTTCCTAAACGAGAACGTTTCAATTTTTAGATGTGAAGGCCGAAATTTTATGGGACAAAAAATTATACGGGATTTTTCTTTTTTGGTTCGTTTGATTCGTTCCTGGAATATCTTTGACGATAGGCGTGACTAATCTTCTTGCTAGAATTAGAGGCGAGATAGCTGGTCCTAAGATTTAACGCGACTGCATACATAAGGCAGGATTTGAATTCCTGACCTTGCTTAAGTGTAAGTCAACCCTTATCGCTGAACCGCATGCTTGTGGTTAATTATACGGGAGTTATCAAATGGTGTGATGATTAATAAATTTATAATACTATTAATCATTTTTGAAGTAAAATTTATCATACATACATTTAACCACTATCGAAGGTCAATAACTATAATATTATTAACTAATAAATTACATATTTCAATTACTTCATGAATTATGTCACGATTAATATCCTAATTCAATTAATCTACTTTTAAGTATTTTATATACAAAATTAACCAATGTACCCTGATCTTTTTTTGTTTTTTGTTTTTTTGTTTTGTTTTTTTTATTACCATTTGATGTATAAAATTATGAATAACTGAAATTAAGTAGACATACAGCGTGTGTAAAAATGTAAATACAATTTGTATATGTTAGGAGTGTGAGGGCCGAATGCGAAAAGCAATGGGGAGGGAGGGGTGAATACCGATTTAAGAGACGGCTTTAACTCAAGGGTCAAGTACTCCTCTGGAACACTTCATGGGTTTTGCACATGCTTTCCCCGTCGCATATATTAATTTGCATACCTCACTTAAATGCACTTCCAAGAAGAAATTCTGTGTTTGTTCTGCAAAATTCAACAGTGACAATGACCCGTTACTCCTTGCTGCCACTGCCTCTGCTTCTCTTCGTTACCAGGAAACACTTCGACCAGGCATGTTATCTCTTTTAGACATTTCATCGAACATTTCAATGATGGTGATGATTGATATACGACTATGGTTCACTTTTCATGCTCCTATGTTCAAACTTATATCTTTATACAGAATGGTTCAAGAAATTGTAGGTTCATCGAGTTGGGCAAGCATTTTATAACTGCCATTGGAAGTAGGTTGTTTGAGTTCACCGAATATAAATGTTCCACGCCATTGTTATTTATCCCATTTTTGGAAGCAAAAAATAATGTTATGCTGTTTAGATGCTGCATTTTGTCATGTCATGTAGTGGATAAGATTAGCATTCAACATGTCTCATAGTATCACTTCTGCAAGTGCAGAGCCTCTGTTTCTAGACCCATATGCTGGTTGTTTTGTCGCTCATAATACTCCTAAGGATGTGACTCAGGACTTGCATCCCTATTGTCTTGCAACCAAGTTCATTGATGATAAGCTGCTTAGTACAGTGAGCCTTATTGATGGACTAAAGCAGGTACTTGCTGAGTGTATGTATGTTGATAAAAATCATTCTATATCCTCTTAAATTACAATTTTTCATTTAATCTTTTAAGTAATTAGAAGTTTGTTTGGAGGATAATGCTTAGTTTGATAGGGTTTTTCCTCTTAATTGCAGCTAGTTTTGTTGACAGATGGCATGGATACACGGCCATACAGACTTAAGTGGCCCACTTCGACCATAATATTTGACATATCCCCAGAATGTGTATTTAAAATTGCAGCTGAGAAGCTTAAAGGTGACATTAGTTGATTTAGTGAACAATGATCCTTTAAGCATATATCATTGCCAAAACGAAATATCATTTAGGCAAAGTTGATCATAGGGACAATAGTGTGAGCAGAAAAGTTAGTAATTACACATGAATGCTAGACGTGCCAAGGATTTGAATTTTTAGTCAGGTAGGTGTTTTCAAATGATTGTCACGTGGAGAGAAAGATAGACAAATAGGATCCCAAAATGTGTTATGCAATATCTCTGTGCCTATTTCTCTCTCATGTAAGGGGAAAAGATTAGGAAACAATCCAAGCCCACTTGGAAACTGTTCTATAGACTGCAATTTTATTTGAATTATAAATTCAACAACAGGGTACTGCATGGGTAAACCGTAGAAGATTTATACCTCTCAACAATCTGCAAGACTTGTTGCATGTTTTCTTAAGTTCATGCATATTATTTTTGTCTCTGCTTGTCCTTTTAATTTTGTATTGTGCGTTTACTAAGATGAATATATCTAATTAGTAATTGTCTTTTCAAAGCTTCAGGTGTTGGTGCTAAGATTCCCAAAGGTTGCATATTCTATCATATTCCACTGGAACCATCTGACATAGAGAAGACTATACAATTTAAGGGCTATAGTGGTAGTAGACCAAGTATATGGGCCTTACAGGTGATTAATTTTATTATTTTTCTTCCAATTAGTGAACTATTGAAATCAAAAGCAAAGCTAGTGTTGGGGGAAGAGTGGGTCTTCGCTTGAGAAGTTAGTCATACTAGTTTATTCCTGCTCAGGGATTTCCTGTGATGACACCGGAAAATTTTGAAGAGGTATTATCAATGATAAGCAGTTTGGCCATGAAGGGATCCCTTTTTGTGGGAGAACTACCTGCCAGCTTAGCTGAGATAGACATAGAAATCAAGGTTAGTTTGCAATTAATTAATTCAATTAAAATAATTTTCTTCTTCAAGGAAAAAAAGGAAAAAGAAAATCTTTTATGGTCCCTTACTCAGTCCAATACAAGGCAATGGGTAGATAAACTATTCATGAGCAAGGGATTTCGGGTGGAAATGATCAACTATGAAGGGGTAGCAGAGAGTTTTGGTAAAGACTGTGCATCGGGGCACTACAATAATATACTATTTATTGCAGAACAGCTGCTGCATTCTGATGATGAGGTGAGGCACTTTGTATTCATTTTGATATGGTAGTGCATAGTAGCGTGTATAAAGCATAACCAAGGCATTGATATTGTGGCAGATGGAATCATGGAGACGAGAATTTCAAAGGGTAGAGAATGAAGGAGATGAAGAAGGTTTCGAAGAGTTGTAGAATAAGCTTCACTTCACCCTGATTAACCTTAAAATGATACTTCTCTGTTGCTAAAAGGGTCTAAACTTCGTAGCATTTCCCATATACAATTCTTCTGCTCCATGAGACTGCGCATATTGACAACAAAACATCCAAAACTTGGTTGCACAGTATTCTCCTTGCCTAAAACGGTAAGTGCAACTTATTTATGCTTATATTTATGTATTGTCCTCTATACATATGATGGTATACCCAATACTTGTATATCTTTGAAGAAGTGCTCAGTTATGAATTAAAGTGCAATATAATTTAGCTGAGCAGATTCAAATTATTTATAATCAAATATAGTAGCTGATTGTATTTGCACATCAGTAAGCTCCATCATGGATGATCCACAAATGGTTGTAAAATTAGTTGTCCATAGATGAGTCCATGTGCCAGGCGGCGGCGTCGCACAAATAATTGAACCATGTAACAAAAATCATGTTTAATATTAATACAACGGCATAAATAGAGTTCAAACTTGAAAAAAAATCCGTATATACTAAAAAGATCCGTATGCTCACATGTACTAAGAAGAAAAAATTAAGAAAGACAATAAAAGCTAACCACCAACCACTAAGCAGAAACATGATGTAGCTGGGATCAACAACTACGGTTTTAAACAACGGTTGTTGGAGAATGGTCAATTGGTCAAGCATAGCTAAAGTCTGTGAACAAATAATAACTTGAATGTGACTAGGGACAACGGTTGTTGGAGGTTAGGAGTATACTATCTATTTGCATTCTGTCATAAAAATCTGTTTTGTATTATTTGTGAATAACCCAACGTGTATACTCATCATAAACAACTCATTCATCCAAACTAATAGCATGCAACTATCAAATAACTCGAATTATCAAAATCACCTCAACATTCTTCACACCCAAAACTCACTAAAACTTGAATTAGACTCCAAATTTATCAACATAACCACGAATTTAGATGCAATCCAACAACACACAACATCAACAATCAACAAAGATTCAATTTTGACTTCCTTTACCTTGAAACCGAAGTGAACAAGGAAGAAGGAAGAAGAAATCCACCGAGGCAACTTTGCACCATGATCTTCACAACTCAATTCTAGGCTCTCTAAGACCTTGAATTCAAACATAACAAGTCAACCACCTCTAGAAAAGGATAAGGGCTCAAAGAGGTCAACAAGATGAGGAAAAATCTCATTCACTCTAGAAGATTTCTCTTTATAAAGTTTTCTAAGAAATAAATTTACGAGGTTCACTTTTTTTATTTATTTAAAAAACGTTACATATCTTTTTCTTATGGTCAAATTAAACTTCGGTACAGAGAACTTTCAAATGCCAAAATTTTTTTATAAAGAATTTATAAATTTTTAGAATCTCTCAATAACAATAGCTCATTATAACAATTAATTTAATAAAATCTATTATAAATAGCAAACATGTAGTATTACAATTACTTGCTAATATCATCTAGGTCACCTATTTGTTATCTATGATAGGTTTTATCTAATACAACAAGTATGAATTTCTTTTTGTCGGTATCAGATTTTTTTTCATCCCTAAATGTGAGTATTCAATAGTTATACTATACACGATTAGTATGAAACTGATTTTATAATATTTTTTTACTATAAAGTATAAAATATATAATATTTTAACGATTAAAATAAATCAAAAATAACTATTTTAGATAGCATTTTAAAAATGTAAATAAAACCAGTAACCCATCGCTGCAATTATATATGTTAACAGTAAAAGGCTAGTCTTCTATGGAATCAATTAAAAAAGTAGGAGGCATGTGTCTTGAAATTACGCACTCCGCAAAGCACTGATCACCTTCGGTAGCATTTATGTTGGTGTACTGGACCAACTAGCGGAATTATCATATTTTAAAACTGTAAAATAAATTTTGATCATATTTGTGTTTTTTTTTTAATAAAATGAATTAATGATCTCGATTAGGAAAGCAGAATTATACAATCATTATTTTCTCTCGGAACATTAATTAATTAGATAGTAAGAATGAGAGGACATGTCTCAATGATATTAAGAGTTATTTTGAAAAATTAATGCTAATTCTCAACATTTTTTTTTGAAAAATTGTTTAAAACTATATTGATATTAACTAAATTAACCGACTTTTTAAATTACTATGAATTATTCAATATGATTTTTGCATTCTCCTCATTTTTGGTTGAGCTTTAAACATCTTAAATTTGTAAACCTAAATCAACTTATCATCTATAGGCTTCAACTCATGAGATGGTGCACTAAATTTTATTTGAAGATTTAAGGGTTAAGAAAATAAGGTCCACAATATTCTCTTTTTCTAGTATTATTCGTCTCATTTCCCCCTCTTTTTTTCATTTATTTATTTATTATTTATTAGTGAGACTCTTCCATGCAGCATGCTTTTTGTAACGACTGTATGAACCCAAACACTAAATCTCGAGGGAGGAAACTTTATTCTTCAATGATTAATCATTACTATTATTGTAATAAAGATGATTTTGAAAAGTAAAAAACTATTTTAATTTAACATATTTTAGGAAATAAATAATAAGAATTTTGTAAAATAAAATAAAATAAAAACCAATTCTTATTATAAATACATGAAGGCTCTTGGCAATGTGAAAAACTGACTATTGATATTTTTAATTTTGAGTATTTAAATAACTGAATATATATATTTTTTTATGTAAAAACTAGTCCTCATTTTAAGAAACACACAAATACAATATTAGTTTTATAAAATTTAATATTTATATATTTATTAGGTAATCTGAAATTTTTATAACTGCCCCTCATCTATCCCATTATGTGTCTATCCTTCTGAATGTTCAATTCATAAGTTATTGCCTGATGTAGTTTTTTTTATTAAAAAAAAAAAAAATCTTCTTTCAATGTAACCGTGATGACTGCCTGATAACTACTACTCCATAGTATCGTTTCTCTATCACACTTTTTTTTTTTTTTCTGAACCTATATATTTTTTAAGGATTTTTTTTATGATTTAAATTAAGTATCCAATAAATGTATATAAAGTATGTGTATGTATGCAATGAATATGTGTCTGCGATTTTATGTCCTTAGGATGCAAAGTCAAACATCACAAAATTGAAGATTCTTTCCCTTCTAGAGAGGGATACAAATAAAGCAATGAATATTTACTCAAGGGACCCGTCATTGGTGCAAACAATTATGACCATCTTCTTCTTGGTATTTTTGGGAAAATAGAGAATACGATAGTTGTAGAGTAAATCATGCTCTCTCCCATATGAGATAGTAATATTATACTGTCTTTTTTTTTTAATAAAAAAATTAAAGTCTATTCTTTCAATAGATTTTAATATATCATACTTTCCTTATTTTTAAATTTTCAGTTTAAGTTTCATTAATTTTTATTGTAAAAAAATTATTACTAAAATATTTTTTACACTAACATTCTCTAAAAGATGTAAATATTATATTTATTCTTCTTTCTAGTGTTAAAATAAACACTTTCTTCTTTAACAAATATAATTATTACATTTTAACAATTTATCTTTTGGTAAAAAAAATTATTGATTTACAAATTTAATTATTATTTTAAAATTATTATAAATTTTTCAGATTAGTTAAATATTTAAAATAAATATTTTAATAATTTAAATATTTTTAAAGTTATAAAAATAAAATAATGTATATATAGTATAATAAAATCAAACACATGCGAAACATTTAATTAATGTATTTAATGTAATATTTTATAATAAAAAATTAAAAATAATTTTTTTATTATATGTATTAATTACATATTGAATTATGATAATATATAAGTTTTAAGATATTACTCAATTAGATTTATTAATAAAATATTTAAAAAATATCTAAATTAACTGATTTTATGATGAAATATTATTTTATATTTAATGAATATAATGTTAAAATATGTATATTAAACATACAATTTTTACGAATATGTTTATGTTACAAATTTATTATTAAATAAAATATATTTACAAAACTTTACGAATGTATATATATATATATATATATATATGTCAATATATTATGATACATAATTAATTTTATTTTTTCTTCCCACTTGTTACAACCATGTAACTAGTTTTTATTGCATTTAATTGTCAGTGACCGTTTGAAGATGCATACTTATAATGCTTAAAAATATAGACACATTGAAGACAAGGCCTAACATGTCGGTTCAATATCAGAACAGGATTTGTGCCTTTCCTTTTAAAACAATATGTCAATATATAATTTATTTTATTTATTATTTTTATAAATCACTTTAAATTTTATTATATATTTTATAATTTTTTATCAAGTCAATAAATAATAATGAATTAAAAATATTTCAACATAAATTTTAATTAAAAACATATATTAAAATCTTATAATGAATATTTTTTAGGATTTAGTTAATATTATAAATTATATATTTTAGTATAATGGAAGAGTAATAGTACAATATTCATACATAAAAGTATAATTTATTATCTATATTTTAACATACAAAAGGAGCATAAAGTAATACTTGTATGTATCTTTAGAAGAGGTAAATGTTTTTTACTTTAACGACATTAAATTAATTAGATTAAATTATATATTTTTATTTTTTTATATCATAATATTGATAGAAGTATCTATTAATTTCGTTGAAAATTAGTCTCTCTTAATCTTAACTAGATTAAGCTTATACTTAAATTCAAGAATTGAGACCTTAAGACTTGAGAACTAATTATAACATTAAATTAATCAACAAATATTAATATTAAATTAAATATTTTAATATAAGAGGAGAGAATAATATAGTATCTTTTCAAAAAGGTTATATAATGTAATTTACTCGTATTTTTGATTATCATATCCTCACCCTTAGCGACAGTGGCAATGAATAAAGGGTGTCTAGAAAAAATATTAGTAGCATTTTTAATAGATTTTATTTATTAGTGTAGAAAACAAAATTTTATTAATTAAAATTATTAAAATAATAATATTTTGTGAGATTTATATCTTATTTAATAAGTTTCATCATAATTTTATACTTTTAAAGTTATAACTAATAATATAAAATATATTACATAGAATGTAAAAAAAAGAATACGTTACTGTACTTTTCAAGGACTTAACAATAAAAAGGCAGCCAACTTTAATGCCATTCTGGTTTCGTATTCGGGAAACTTCAGTGAAAATTACGGCATTCTACACATTTATTGGACCTGCAAAATTAAATAATCATAACTACTTTCATGGGTTCCTTATTATTTGCCAATAAATACGTACTTTTTTTTAAAAGAAAAACGAAATGTCTTTTTTTTTTCTTCTTTTTTTCCCTTCTTTTCCACTGGTAGTAATAA